GAAGACTCTAAAACTGCCAACAGAATGAAAGCTATATTTAAAAGAAAATACCAAGTCCTACTTAAATTACATTCATTGAAACAGTTGATTCACATTTTTCTAGCACATTTTATATAATACTAGGCAACCGGCTATCCAATGAAGCCATGAAACCTTCAAAACTGCTCACCACATGGAGACCAAGCACCCTGCATTAAAAAGACAAGCCTTTGGAGTTTTTCAAAAGAAAAAAACTTGAACACAAAGAACAGAAGCAATTATTGGAGGCCACCACTTCATCAGATATGGCTGCACCAATAACGTCATTCTTACTGGTTAACCACACTTCTAAAGCTAAGAAGCCCTTTACTATTGGTAAAGAGTTGATCTTGCCTGCTGCTAAGAACATTTGCTGTGAACTTTCAGGAGAGGCTGCAGTTCAAAAGGTGGCACGTGTCCCTCTTTCAGCTAGCAACATAACTAGACAAATTGATGAATGTTGAGGCATGACTGTTAGAGAGGTGGATGAGTCTATTGGTAATGTTGAAACAAAGGAACAATGCTAGTTTTTGTAACATGTTTTTCAGGAGGGTGTGCAGGATGTGCATGAGGATATGTTATGTGCACTTTTGCTGCCAATCAACACCACAGCTGTAAAACTGTTCAAGTCTTTGCATGACTACATATCAGGAAAACTGAATTGGTCTTTTTACATCAGTATACGCACAGACAGACAGGCTGCCCTCACTGGCTGGCTTTCTGGTTTCACTACATGGGTCAAGGAGGTCACTTCTGAATGTGAGTCTACTATGCAGTATGTCATCCATAGAGAAATGCTAACTAGCTGAAAAATGTGACCTGAACTAAATGTTTTGCAGGATGTGATTAAAATCATCAACCACATTAAAGTATATGCCCTTAACTTACATCTATTCGTGCAGTTCTGTGACAAGATGGACACAGAGCACACGTGTCTTCTCTTATATAAGGAAGTGAGATGGCTTTCTAAAGGTATATCACTGGCCAGTTTTTGAGTTATGAGAGCCACTCCAGAGATTTCTTTTACAAAAACAGTCAGCACTGGCAGCACATTTCAGTGACACAGAATGGGTCACAAAACTTGTTTACTTGTGTGACATATTCAACCTGCTTCTGTGAACTCAATCTGTCACTTCAGGGGAGAATGATAACTGTGTTCAAGTCGGCAGATAAAGTGGCTGCATTCAAAGCCAAACTCGAATTATGGGGCAATGAGTGAATATTGGGATTTTTGACATGTTTCAAACATTAGCAGAGATTTTGAAAAATACTGATCCAGGGCCTTCTTTTTCCCAGCTGGTGCATAATCACCTATCTCAGCTTTCAAAAGTGTTTGGGCATTACTTCCCAACCACAAAAGACCCCTGAACTGGGAAGGAATGGATCTACTAGCCATTTGTGAATAAGCCAGGTGAATCAATTTTGTCCTTGCTAGAAGAGGATCAACTGCTTGAGATAGCAAATGATTTCAAGGTGATCTTTAAGGTGGCCTTAAAAGTATGTTTGAGAAAACTTCAAATCTCCATATGTTCTGGATTAAAGTCAAGGCAGAATATCCTGAGATTGCCACAAAAGCACTGAAAAGCCTGCTTCCGTTTCCAACATCTTATCTTTGTAAAAAGCAGGGTCTTCTGCCATGACAGCAAACAAAACAAGATTACCGAGTAGACTGGACATAAGCAACACACTTTGGGTGTCACTGTCTCCCATCACCCCCACATGGGACCATCTAGTTGCAAGAAAACAAGTTCAGGGCTCTTACTGATTCTGCATTATGGTGAGTTGTATAATTATTTTATTATATATTACAATGTAATAATAATGGAAATAAATAATGTGCACAATAAATGTAATGAGCTTGAATCATCCTGAAACCATCACCTCACCCCCGTCCATGGAAAAATTTTCTTTCATGAAACTAATCCCTGGTGCCAAAAATGTTAGACTGCTGATCTAAACTTTCTTACATACTCTTTAATATTTCGATGTGTTGTAATGTTTGAACTGGCCATGAATCCATGATTATATATTTTTTCTCCCACTTTATTTGCTTGAAATTTAGTTATGCAATACTTAATAAACATATTTTGCCATTCATTACTACTAGTCTGTGTTTTAAAGAATTATTATTAGGAACAGAAACACATCTTTGGATAGGAAAATATAGCACTGAATAATCATAGGATAATAATAGTTATATATTAGGTAATATGATAGTATAGATTTTATCTAGTCTCTAATTCTAAAATTGTCTGAAATGTTTCCTTCAAATCTGGAATCAGCCTTAACTTACTTTTGCCATTAAATTATCTTCCTTATATTTTAATTCACTTTTCTTCATTTACTCCTTTAGATAAATCTTAAAACTTTTATGAGGGAAGGCTGTATTATAAAGTATTCTAATTTCACTGACCAGAAAATAAACTTCTCTATTAAATAAATGAGGAATAATATATGTACACTGAAGTTTATTTTTGAACTGCAAAACTTTATGAAAAAGTTACCCTTAATATTTTATTATTATTCATCCCATTAGGCCTATCTGGTGGCATTATCCATTTCATTATTCCTATTAAACTAATACTGTATATTTTATTTTTATATCAATATTCACCAATCAAAATTAAATTATATACATATATATTTAGTTCTTATATTTTTATTTTTGAATCTTTGAGGTACATTTAAAAATTATATCTTTAGATTAGATGTAGTTTTTTTTAATGTGATGAGTAAGTTTGACTGTGTAAGTTTGACTCTGATTACGGTTTTGATCAATTTGATAATATTAAAATGTTAGTTTCAGTTAGTGTATATGTCTTTCAAGACTGGCTGCTATGTTATTAAACTTTTTTAAAAAAAATCTTCCCCTAACAGGTTAAAGTACATTAAAAGAAAATAGTATCAGTATTCTCTCTATCCTTTTGAATCTATTATAATTCTCTGAACCTGGGTGAGGTAGGAGGGATTTGAGAGACCGCAGAGAGGAAGCTGGAGGCTGGACTGCAAAAGGTACAGCAAAAGGAAATGCCTGAACAGTCCCAGTCCTAACTGTTGCCATTAGGAAGGAGAGAAAAGCCGGCTAAAGTGTTGGAGAAAAAAAAAATAAAACCCAAAGGAACATTAAAATTTATAAATAAATATGGAATTAGCTGTTTCTATTATTGAGCAAAACAGATCCCCTAATGCATGCAGGTAGCCAATGAGAAAATTGAACTGGATTTTAGCTCCCTTAATACAGAACAAAGCTTCTGCTGTTCTATATCATCCTACTTTTAGTATGCATTCAGCAGGTATTCAATTTGCATCAGTTACATTGAGCTTACTCAGATGTCCTGTTCTCATAATTCTTTATCAGGTTTACTCTGTTTCATTATTTATAATTCTTTATTAATACCTAGTATAGTTACCCTGACAGTATATCTAGGACATATGGTTAGTATGACATATGCTTATTGCATATAGATTTGCCTGCTATATTATATATCCATTTCTTTCACTCTAGATTACTACTCCCATTATCTTTTCCTATATTTCTACAAAGGTTTACTGTTTAGTCTTCCTGTTTCCACTATTGACCTCCTCCTTCTTCAGTCTGTAGACAGAGTGGTTTGTTTAATACTTAACACCTTTCCATTCAACTTAAAATAGAATCCCCATTTCCTGGGCCCTCCAGGTTGCTGCATGCCTGCAGTCTGGTCATTAGAATCTCAGCTTAAGAAGCCCTACTTAATTTAGTACTTCCAAGCCAGGTGATCAGTCCCTGTTTCACCATTCTCTATATTTTCTCCTTACACTTTATCACAAAGTACCTCATCCAGTTATGTTTTATTTTCTCTACCTTCCGACCACCTCAACTTGAATGTCAGAACTAATGCAGCAAAGGCCTCATCTGACTTATTTATAGCTGCATCAATCATTTGGCATATAACATTTTCTAACCAGATATGAAAAGAACAAAGGAAGAAAATAATGGAGGAAAAAAATGAAGGAAGAAGAAGCAATATGATGGGAAATTGTATTTTTCAAAAATCACATAATAAGGAAATTTTAAAATATTGTTATTATAATTTGTTGAACTATATATTAAAGACTTAAATTTTTAAATATAGGAGTGAATTTACACCAGATAATACTAGCAGATAAACAACTTTGAAGGAAGCAAAACTTAAGAGATAAGTTTAGATTTCTAAAAACCAAAATCAGCTTTACCTTGATACCCCAAAGTTGCTGCTCATATTAAATTACAATTGGAGACGATTTAGTAACAATATTTCTCCAAACCTGCCCACTCTGTCTTATTCACATGGCCACCACTGTATCACTGGAATAATAAACACAAGTTACAGTACAGTGACTTATATAGGTAGGGGACAAGGCTAAAAATTGGAGAAGAGTGACATATAGAAAAAAGTTTGTTAAACACTGTAGTGTTCACTTTGATGTTTATTTTATTACTGAATATGTAATTATTTTATTACTGAATATGTAATTATTCTGTTATTGAAAATAAATGGATATGTCCATATATTCATACATGTATATAAAAGAATCTCACACATGAGCTACTGATAAGTATTAACTATTTGTCATACAAATAATAAACCTTGTTTTTGAAAGGATTAATTCATTTCAATATTTTTCTCATTAAGGACTTTTTTTATTCAATGGGAGATAGGAAAAGTGTCTTATATATCATAGGTTCTCATATTTATTTAAATTGTATCATTTTTAAACTAAGTAAAATTACATATATTTATGATATACAACATGATGTTGTGATATATGTATACATTATAGAATGGCTAAATCAAGCTATTTAATACACTCATTACTTCACATACTTATATTTTTGTGTTGAGAACATTTAAAATCTCTATTAGCAATCTTCAAGTATATGATACATTGTTATTATCTGTAGTCACTATGGTGTACAATAGATCTCCTGAACTTAACTTGAGCATTTTCTACTTTGCTTTCAGCTTGATGATTCCCTGAATCAGATCCGTAAGCTCCAGAGATATCTGGATGAACAGAAAGAAACAAATGAAAACTTGGAGCTTGAACTCAGGCACTTACAAAACCGGTAATTATTTCACAAAATATGGTGAATTCAAGATTGGGACCTTAGGTAAGTAAATCTTGATATCCTTTTCTTCTTTCTTAAATTTCATCAACATTATTTTCACTAACTAGGAATATTAATAAAAGAAACAGATACTCAATACTTGAATTGATGGTCTACTTAGTTTCTATTATTTATTTATTTGCCTAATAGATGTTGCATGTTATGGTAAATACAATTCAAATATCATTTAAAAACAATTTTACTCTAAAAGGTGTAAAATTTTTGAAAGGCAAAGGAGTTTTCAGAATACATTTCACATAAAAGCTGAAAGAGTTATATCTGCAAGAAAAAAGTAAGTATAAACCATGCAAGTTGCTAAGTGGTGGATAAGAGAACTATTGCATTTAAGTAAAAGTAATGGTTGGTTAAGTAATTGATAGTCTGGTGTGTATGTGCTTTTTCTCTATGCAGTGGAAGTGGCAGGTTGTGTGAAAAAAATAACTCTAGAGAGGTAACTAAACTCCTTGTATAATTCCTTTATAATTCTTATATAATGCTTGATACAAAACAGAGGTGGGCAGAGGAGTGAGACAAAATATTTTGTATTATAAAGAGACTGAAGGACAGCTAAGATCTGCACTCTAACTAATACAAATATCTTTAGAAAAAGTAATAGATCACCTGAGATTGGAGTTAAGGCAAAGCTACAAACATCTCTGAGAAACTAGAGGGCTTTTGACTTTTATCTGGGTAGACATTTCTGCAGCAAAATCATACAAGAAACTGTCAGCATTAGGAAGTAGTAGCTAGGTATAAATCAGGCTGAAATAAAGCTGTGGTTTCCCTTTGTGTGGTAGGAATGAAGGAAAGTATAAAACTGTACTTAGATGAATATTTATTTAAAACCTTTTTATATATTAGTTTACTTCTTTGTATTTAATTTTGTTTTAAATGTAAAAAAATTGCTTAAAAAAGACATTATTATATAATGTTACATAGCTGTTTCTAAATGAAACTCATTTGCAAAATTTATCTCAGTCAATAGTTTTCTTCATTCCTTCATTGACTAGAAAGAAAAATGAAATCTTATTAATTCATTATTGAGTAAAGATTACTTTGTCTGATAAATTAATCTCTTTGTAAAATGCTTTGTTGTTTGCTGAGCCCCCACTTTTGTCCCTGTTTCTCTATCATGGGGGACAGGGTGCTCTCAGTACTGGGGGTAAAGAGGCCATCCACTGGCCCAAGACTGGCCCTCGAATGTACATTGGTGAGTGTTTGCTGGTCTGTGTAGTAATATAGTCCATTTTGTCACTGGTACCCTTGCTGGGTTCCGATGCTGAAATGTGAACTCCCTTCTCTTTGCTTGACATTCCTCTTGCTGAACCGGCTCCATCTTAGCTACTTCTGGTGTAACCTCCTCTCTCTCATCACATCCCCTATCAGCTCACTGGCTGAGGGATTCACCCAGTTGGCGCCTTCAGGATGGGCCCCAGGTGTGGTCTCATCTCAGCCACAACCCCAGATGAGCACTGGGTGCATATCTGAGAAGCTAAATATTAGAGAGCTCTCACTGCCTGACCATGTTTCTCTGCTTTTCTGTGGCTGTGCCCCAAGTGGATGTGGCCTTCCAGCCTACAAGGCATCTTCTTCTCCAGATCCCGAATACAAGTGGAAAACAGTCTCCCAGCCACCATCCCTCAACACTTGACTTAACTTCTATAACAATTTCTTGCACACAACCAATCTCCAGATCAAAGCACATAAAAAGGAAATTGAGACTCTTCCTTGAAAGATGAGTTTGCCTTGCAATCTCAGAACCAAAAAGTAGTGGGTTTTTATATTGTCATGTTACATCATATTCTTTTTCTACTCTGGAGCTCAACTATTGTGACAGGCAAATAAGGCAGCTCCTCTCTGATCTCAATACCAGCTCTTGATAACTACCAGTTACAGTTCTACTATGAGCAAAGCATTATTCCAGATGCTTCAGGTATATTGACTAATTTAATATTAATAAGATATATATGATGGAGACTATCATTATCCTCATATTTGGATGAGGAGATTGAGACATGGTAGGTTAAGTGGACAAGATTACAGAAGAAAACACTGGAAGAAGATTAATCCTCATTCAAGGATGAGGTTGCTTAGTGAACATTTGGTTTATACAGATAATGGATTAAGAAAGATCTTTGCCTCAATGATTTTCATACCAAATATTGGAAACTAAAATGTTGTATCAGTTGTATCTTGCTGAGTAACAAACTAACCCAAAACTTAATGGTTGGGAACAACAATGATTTCTTATTCTGAAAGTTTACTGTTTTCAAAAGGGTGGTTCGTGTGCTCCTTGTGCTGTTGGCTGGAATCACTCTTGAGGCTGCATTCATCTGAGAGCTCAGTTGGGGCTAGAATGTCCAAGATGGTTTCAATCATATGTCTGCATTGGCTGGGATGTCTGTGTCCTAGGCCTTTCCCTCCATTTAGTTAGTCATCATTCGGTATTACTTCCTGGGCTACTTAAATGGCAACTGGTTTCCAAGAGTGTAAAAATGAATTCTCCCTTTACCCTCTGGATCCCTGCTCACCCTCCCACACATTCTTCCTTCAGAAGAAATAGCCACGTTGGCTGCCGAGTAGCTCTTTTCTCACACATCCTGTCTGTGGAATACTAGGGAAGCAGAGGCATCTTAATTTATATATATATATATATATAGATAGATATAGATATATATTTTAAAAAATTTTTAATTTTGGTAAAAATCACATAACATTAAATTAACTATTTTACACTTTTGAAGTATACAGATATGTATATGTAGGTCTCTTACATTTTTTAGCAACTTGTATTGACTTTTAGTTTGATGAGAACATATGGATTGTTTAGAAAAGTTTTTGATAGCCTTTTACTTCTACACATATTTCTCTAGCTAAATCAGAAGATTAGCTTTGTTATTTTTTATCTCTGTGACCTTGAGCAGTCTACTTACATTAAAATTATATAATATTCCCCCAAAGACTGAGTGAAATAATAAATGAAGCACCTGGCATTAATAAATATTCAACAAATATTTGTTTATTCATCTCATTCTACTTTTCAAGAGATAATTTCCTTCAGAACAAATAAATTTAGGAAATGAAATTTCTATGCATAAAGAAAATACTCTCTTTAAAGAAATCTTGGAAATACCTCACAGAAAATTTTAAAATTGTAATGATGCTTGCCCTCAATTTCGACTATTTAAAACTTTAAACACTGGATAGGTTTTCTTATTTTATTGGAATATCTCAAAAAATTACTTACATTTCCACAAAACTTCATTTTATACTACCAATCTAGACATTACACAGTAGACGCTTGTATATTAGACTTAAAAAATGTCAGTACACAGCATTGTGATACGAAACTATAGACATCAGCTGGCAAATTCAACAGCTGAATTTATATCTTTAAATGTTCTCATTTGTCATTTTAAGGAAATAGTTAGAACTATATATGTTGGAAAACTCTCAGAATAAAAGGAAATTAGAATCGAAACATTGTCTTTCACTCAGAATTAAGAATTAATACTCATAACCACCTTAAAGAACCTCTTATAATGTTCTTAAAATACCATTTTGTGTTAACTACTTAATTGTTATATCAACTAACTTCCAAATATACACATTTCAAAATAGAATTATAGAAACTTAAGGGTATTTTATATTGATCAATGTGAAGAATATATATTGCAACTAGAAAAGTTTAATTAATATTTTATTGCAAAGTGCCACAGGTTGATGTAAAAATTGAAGCAATATATACAGAAAAGTTCACTTTTGTTTATTCTTATGTTTCCAGTAATGTCTATCCTTTTATGCAGCTCTTATAGAGGTTAATAAAAAATATAAAAGAAATTAAGTGTTAGTTGATTTTAAATCAAACTGTTAAAAAATACTGTTGTCTCCATATCAAAAGAGGAATCAGTACACAGACTTTAAAAATCAGTGAAAACTAACATATATACTGTGCATATTTTCATCCAAAATGGAAAGGCCTTCACTGTCCTGGACTAACCTAGCCTGTACCCTATCTCCAGTAATAAAAATGTACTCTGTGATTGATGTGAAAAAGGTGATAATCGCAAAAGCATTCTTGCCTTGGTAGGTGTGTAACTTTCCTTACATGACATAATTTTGGGTATATTATACCAAATGGAGTGGAAGGCATGGGAATGGTTATTTGTGATTTTAATTCATGTTTCTCTTGCTCCTATGATCTGTTTCTTAAAAAACATAATATTTTCTCCTCATTATATATTGTAGCAAAGTTAGTACTATTTTCTGAAATCACCTCCAAATATTTGGTTTCTATATCTTCAAATGAAGGCTAAATTTTTTGTTCATTTATAGACATAAGTGATGCATGGAAATTTGAAAATTCCTAATCTCGTTGGGGACAGTTCCACTGGTTAAAAGAGAGTAACTTTTAAAGATGTGCTCAATACATTTACATTCACTGTATTTACCAAAGAAACTAGTAATGAGACTTTTTTCAAAAGCAAACTCTACTAGATCTGTATAATTATTTTCACAATAATGATTTGGCAAGTTTAAATAGGAAAATAATTTCTATATTAAATCTAGTAATATTCTTATGTGGACTTGTAAATATCTATTCACAAGAGGAATGTGTCTTATAGTTGAATACATTCTATTGGGAGAAAATAATACTGAGTCCCACTTGAACTGTAATTATTGGGTCCAGCACCAATCTGTGGCAACAAGTAACGGTAGGAAGAGATTTGTTCTAAGTGAGCTATTCAGTAGCCACATTGATGACCTGGATAAAGAAACAGAGAAACAGAAAATCTATAATTCTAAATTATTTTGTGTCAGAAGAGGATTGGAAATGAAAAATGATCCCAAAGGAAGAGAATGTAATTTATTAGAAAAAATATGAAATAATAACTCACATAGTAAAATCTAACGGTATAAGAAAAGACTGCTGACGCACTATGATATTAACAATGGATCTCATTTTTTCCCTGTGTGACTGACACTATCCTACCTGCTTTATG